CAGTGGGGGACATCTCACAGGAAAGGGGATAGGGCCCAGTGCTTAAAGGGACATACCTATGAACTCACGCGTACTAGATCAGCCCCCGGCAGAGATACCAACGTAAGGTTTCAGCAGAGGCGATGAGGATGCCCAAGAGGTCAATGCAGTGGAACAGAACAGAGCAAGACTTGGACGATATACGGAGGTCGTAGAAGGCAAAGGAGCGACGTGGCAACCGCACGCAATCGGAGACGCTCTCCCGCTCGAGCGCCCAGATTTAGGGCAGGCGTACAGAGACTTGGCAAGATACGCAGGCGGCCTTGCCTGACTCGAACGAGCCCAAAACATGTATTCCCTCAATACAAAGCATGTTACTATGTACAATTGCCACCTACGATGTCCTATGGACCCATTCACCATTCAAATTTTCAGAATCAAGGCCGACGACCTTGACGGGCGCTATTAGTTGGCATTAGTACTAATTTAGTTCTAAATAGCCCAGGGAGTTTTTCCTGATGCTCTCATGATCACCCAGCTGAGGATCCTCTCCCTGAGCACCCTTTTCTCCATTGGTCAACATGTCTGCGTCTCATCCTCACCACATGGCCCGTGCGAGAAAGTGAGATCGGACGATGGATGCTGCATAGTCACCAAACACTACAACGTGCGCCCAATCACCCCCGCATGGGAGTAACTCATAGATCGCGCTCTGTGGACGACGTTGCCAACAGAATCGCTCTGCTCTCCGATGTGTACCTTTTTCTTGGATGACACATCTGTCTTCTAACCCAGAGGCTGGGGCGCGACTGTGGAGATGGGAGCAAATTAACCTCTGGGACTTTCAGTCATGTTGCGGGGGACATGAGAGAGCTTGGCGCGCTCATGCAATTACGCAGGCGAAATGTTGTAAGTCGAATCCGGCAGGGCCAAAAGCGGAAACGTATAACAGTGCGACCTGCGTACACGTTCGCAATGAAGTGTCCTGTGCGATGCGACCCCGGGACCGATGTGCGATGTATACCCGGAGCTATGATATGTACCGTGACGATACATGCAGCTCAAGATTGAAAAGTAGACAGATCAGACGCAAAGCGAGCAGACGAAGCGAAGACTAAAACATCATAACTGTACGACTGTGATATGAATAAATCAGCCGCCCCCAACGCAAGCAGCCATGTTTCGGCGGCCGCACAACCTTACTCTTAGTGCTCTGCGAAAGCCGTGACGAAACCCCCACTGTTCCACTGACGACGCCGAGCTAGCGGGAGGACAAATAACGGTGTGTACGCACAGTAGGTATCTCCAGCAAATAGCCATCCCCGCGATGGTCCACCTTTGTGGTGCCCGTATCCCAGCCTTGGGGTAAATCCCACCGACAGGTCGAGACTGACTCTAGAAAGCCTTCTGGACGGACAAGGACGTAGTGAACGTGGACTTCGCTTCCGGCATCCACTTTCGCCTTCTTCAGGAGACGTGGTTCGGTCTCCTGCTGTTGCGCCTTGTCCAAGAGCCGCTCACGACTTTGTTGCGGCAAGTCCGTGAGCGACGGCGAGTTAGAACTGAGCTCCGCGCCCGCAAGACCTTGCTCGTCCGCAGGCCGTCCTGTTTCGGCGGTCCGATTGAGCTGCGAAAGGAGTGCCGCCACAATCCTGCGGATCATGATGAAGCCGCTGGCCCCCACATGCCCGCTAGTCGGTGTCATCCGTAGGAGCCATAGATGCGCCGTGGTTAGTTTAACGCCTCGTGATATGATCAACGCGTCGAAAAGAGCCGGACAGTAAAAAGCGAGGTCAGGAGTGTAGTATGTGTCATAAGTGAAGGTGTTCGGAAGATGGGACATGTCAAACTGCATGGTCGTCCGGACCTGAGGCCAAGGAGGAAGAACCTGCGAGGACTCAGAACTCGCAGAAGGCTTAGATGCCTCGGGCGACCCAGGCGAGCGGACGACAAAGGCAGGAGGCTCGGGCTCGAAAGACATTTTGGTAAGGCGTTGACTCCGGTTCACGCCGCCCATAACGCCGCCGAGGGCAAGCGGCTTGGAGGATGGCGCTTCCAGGGGCATCCTTTGATCGGGGCGGGAGAACTGCAAGGGATTGTCGCTCCCTTGCTGCCACCCCTCTCTCTGGAACTTGGCGACGATCTGCTCTGCGATCCAAGGAGACTTGAATTCAGCGGCCCATCTGACCGAAGTCCCAACTTGCGTACAGGGGGAGACGACGACCACGCCGTCAGAGCGATGGTCCGACATCGAAACGTCATAGAGGCCTGTGACCGCGGTGAGCATCTCGATGATCTCTTCACATGTATAGTTAACAGCCTCCATATGATGCGCTTGAACACCCTCGAAGTCGATGAGGACCGCTTGGAAAACGTCCCGAGGAATGTGACCAAAATTCGCGATCACTTTGTCCAGAACGGCGTCGATGACTTCGTTAACAGATTCGGGAGAACCTTCTTTATAGACTGATCTGAGGTGCCCCAGCACGGCAGTGTTCCATCCTAACGGTTCCGGAGGGTTGCTGGGCCACGGCGCCAGGTACTGCTGTAATTGTTCTTGAACCGTACCGAACCTAGGCTGCAGCCCTAATCTGGTAAAACACCAGTCACGATGCGCAGAAAAACGGGACTTTGAAAGCTATCGCATCCGGGGAAGTATTGCATCATCCTGGTTGAGCCGGTAGACGCGATCGAAATAGAACAGCAAGCATGAAGGACATGGTAGATGGAAAAGGATGACCTGCCCCTGCTGCAGGAGGCGGACAAGGAGGTACCACAGGAAAGCGGTCTTGCCTACAAATCCTGTTTCCAGTCTGCACGGCGAACAACAGCGGAGAAGATGCTTACCGATGCCAGGTTGACCGGTGAAAATCACTCCCCCACCAAAACCAAATCCCGCCGCACGACGCCAAACCACCTTCTCGGCCTCCCGGTAGCAGTCACGGATGAGCACGGTGTTGGTGAGGATCGGGAGAGTTGATATCGCCCCGATATCGCTTAGATCAAGGGTCGGGGTGTCGCCCATATGAGTCTCCCGCCACTTGGTCGCGAAGGCTTGCCATAGGACAGCAGCTTTCTTGCAGCCTCTACCTGCATCCTTGTCCCAAGACCAGTTGTTACGATCTGAGTATGATCATCAGCGATGCGCAACAGCACAAAGTGCTGAATCTGAACGTGCCAGCGTTGATAGCAGCAATTTCCATAGCGCGCCGGTCGTGTTCTTCGGGATAACAGGTCCTCCAGACGACGTCACCGAATGGACATGTTGATGTGTCTCCGACGAGCGTTCTTTCTCCCATGCAGCAATCCGTCGTGCAATACCTCGGGCGGCCATAACGAACGATCGATGGACATCGTTGAGGTCCTTCTCGGAGATGTGCGCGAGCTCCGCGCACAGCTCACAGCTGTAACGGATCGCCGTCGTCGCTCGTCGTGGTGCTCAACGTATCGAACATCAGCACGGATTCGAGAGGAGGAGGAGAGGACAGTACCAGTGTCAATACTAGTACTAAACTGGGTGCAGGAGCTGAGGACGGGCTCTTGTACGAAGTAGCATTAGGTAAACCCTGGTGGGAGTCGCTCGAATCTCCGACACTCGACTGTATCTAAAACGTCATCGGACTGCCCGGAGGCGGTTTCGGTTGCGCTTTGGTGGTCGAGAGCGTGTCATCCCCCGACTCGAGGTCGTAGTGCTGTTCGTCGATTGCGGTAGAGGAAGAGACTCTTGGAACGTCCTCGGAGAGTCGGATGATCTGCTACGAATCACGAACCTCTCCTAATCGCTTGGTCAACATGTTAGACACTCTAAGCCGACGGATGAGAGACTCACAAGTTAGTCCATATGGTCCGATGGTAACCGTATCCACTTTCAACCTGTACTATCGCGACCCCAGTGTTCGGACGACAAGGCGCCCACCGCATGATTCCTTTGATCTATGTACCTTCCTATCCTCCGATAACATTCATTTGTTGCATGCAAGCAGTCACATATAAAATCATGCTGCATGCCAAAGATGAGATATATTGGAGAATAAATGAGTGTTAGAGAGGGGGGTATACAGGGCTGACCCCAGTGTTCGGACGATTCTCCGCGCAGAAGGTCACGAATCGTCACGCTTGCCGAGCCCTGCCGGCCTTCGGGAATGTCCGTCATCCAACTTGATGAGCCTTAGCCGAGCAGCCTAACCAGGTCGGAGAGTGAAAATGTGGCTGCACTGTCACGCCCTCGAGGGCCAAGTCTTGTTTCTCCCATTTGTGCACCAGTGAAGGCTTCGGAGAATTGAGTCCTGGGTATCATGGGTGTGTATGAGTACGTCTGAGAAACATGAAAGGAAGCGCCCGAGGAGGAGCTCGGAGCGAGACTCATCAAGTTTGAATAGGGATGAGTTGCACCACTTCCTCCTGCAAGATCGCCGCAGTGACTCTGTGAATAAATTTGGTTCTTTTTTCTGCTTGTTTGGAATGAACTCGCGCACCTATTTGCCAGCTTGCAGCTTTATCGGGTGGAAAATGAGGGAGACATGGTCC